AATGCAACGACATTCAGATATATGAACAATACTGAATATGTGCATCTTGACAACTGGTTTTGTAGATCTTAGGCCCTGTTCCACCAGGCTGAGGTATTTATTGACTTACCCATATCACAATGCAGACAGTTATTGCATATAGGTACTTGATTTTAGTAGCATCAAATTGTGGTGTTATTTCATATTCAAACTCAGCATGGTCAACCTTTCTCGGGAAGAATAATGCTGACTCATTTGCCAACTATGCTCTGAATTGTTCATCTATTGGGAAAAAGATTGTGGTTTTATGTTAGTCACAGACCTAAATGAAGCATTTGAGGTAGAAATATTCATGATCAATCTAAACAACTTTGTGTTCATTTTGTTTTTTTTAAGTGCTTTATCCTGAGCTCACCATCTACATAAACAGGACGCAACCACCTTAAAAATTGCATGCTGTATATATATATGCCCATACATAGCTGCACCATCAGTGATCACTTGTGAATGTATGATACAATACCTTTCACAGAGCTGTCTTATGTGTATGGATTGTACACCATGAAACAATATCATCAGCACACATTCGAGATGCTTAAAAGGATGCTAATTGCATTACTGAAACTGTCTCCTTTAATGCGATGACTATAAATTTGTGTCATCAGCAAAATCTCCTACTGATGCTTGTGCAGCATTGTATATAAGACCTCTTGAAAGTCTCAGCATCTTCATCTCAAAAATGTTTATGCTAATCTTGGAGAGATTAGGCTCAATGTCTGCAAGACTATCATATGTCAGCTTGGCTTTGTCCACATATGTGACATAGCAGCTGTGGTTTCCACAATTGTAATACAATTCTGCACAGAGCTGCTAAAAACAATTGTGTATATCTTTCCCACATGTTGTAATACTGCATAATAAAACAATGTGCAAAGCTATTGTAATCATTGTAGAAGAATGTTTCTGCTGACATTGTAATACTTGCACACTTGAGTGGTAATTCTTGTAGAATGTTTCTGCTAACATTGTAATACTTGTACATTGGAGTTATAATCTTTGTACAATGCTTTTGCAGGTATTGTGATCTATTCACACTTTGACTGTAAAATATTTTTGGCAGGCATTGTAACATTCTATACTAAAACTGTGCTTTCTGTAAAATGTGTGCTTGATTTGAATCTGAGTTTGAATCTGATAATGTAGCTGATCAAAATGAGTGCAAATATTTATGCTAATTAGAGTGCTATATTTGCTGATAATATTTATTAAATTGATTGAATGCTTTCAAAACAATTCAAACATTTGCATTTATCATTTTTAGTGTACGTAATCTGATCTAACAATATACTATCATCTGAGTAATGTATAATTTAGCATTTTTCAGAGTTATGACAGTTTTCATTCCTTATTTAACCAATATTTGCTGCAATTGAAGTTTTTAGCCATCAAGGTAAAATGATTGATTGCCTTTGGTGGCTAACCACAGCCCTGTGTGGCTTGTGTATTTCTGAGGCTATATAGCCATAGAAAACATTGATAGAGAGATGGATAATATAAAAAGCATAATATTCATATGTCAGAACATATAAATAATTATGCAGAGCCTTAAAAAGACAGTTTTGCAATCACATTCAGCACTGTCATGGCTGAGCTAAACACCTTAGCTAACATTGATACCATTAACAAGTTGAATGTTTAGAATGTACATGTAGTATGTTGGGCCTTTCTACCTCATATTATGTATTTGCTACTAGCAAACAATCTTTCAATAATATATCAAAGATATATGAGTGTTTAGTTAGATCCATTCTTACTATGCTGTAATTGATCTTTCAAAGTCCAAATTATGATTTCTGAGGTACAAAGAAAGAGTTTGTACAGATCGAAGCACTTAGGGTGTCTATGCAGCATTTTTGATCTCGGTGAGATACTTAAGCAAAGCATGGAACAAGAGATCATTATAAAGTGATTTCATTTTCTGCCTCTGTCCTGAGGTTAGGAGAGGGTTCTTCCTTCAAAAGTTTCTTACCAAATAATCTTTGGTTGCTACTGATGTTTGTTATCTTTTCTAATGAACATACAAGCCAGAGTTTAAACCTGCACAATATAGCTGATTCAAACAGATGCAAATATTCAGAGCCAATCACAGCACTGAATTTGCTAGAGTTCATGTATCTTAAGAGCTGATGGCTTGAAAGCAATCTGAACCATGGCATTCAATGGCTTCAAAGTGGTTTGAACCATGACATTCACCATTTTGTGATGTAGAATGAATGATTTAAGATTTTCTCAACTTATTATAGTCTTTGCTTGAGAAATAAGAACAGATCTTTACATTTTATTGCTTTACACTTCAACTTCTTTACTGTGAGCATACAGAAACAAAAGCTATTGGTGCAATTGAAGTTTTTCACACTAGAGTAGATTGATTGCCTTATTTGGCTTTGGTGGCTGAGCCACAGCTCTTGATGTGGCTAATAATTTTCAGAGCTTGCTACATATATTCTTGTTGCTCAGAAAATGAGGATTAACAGAGTGTACAAATAGTTTGTGCACAGCTTTAACAATGCATTCTTAAAATAACATTCAAAGCTGCTGTGGCTGAAGTGGAAACCCTTTCCATGATTAGATATGACTTATAACTTGAAACCTTGAAATGCATAGTGGAGTGAAATATATCCTAATTGTCACAATTTTTACCTGACAAGTCATTATAGGAACAAATGCTATTAGAAGCATATTATTTTCATCATTTCACGTCGCACAAAGAGTCACATGACCTAATGAGAGATAAGATAATGAGGCATCTAGTCACATGACCTCAGATCTCTCTCAGCATTGTCACATAACACTGAGCCCCTCAGCATTGCATCATATGATGCCATAGCCATGATGCAATATTCTATGCTCAAAGAGAGCTCCGTCTCCATGGGTTATTATTAGGCAGCCAATTAGGATAATTGGAACACATCGTACGATTGTAGCACTGACCAGTAAGATAGCATGTGACTTGCTCAGGTAGTACTGTACAGTAGCACAACAATCATATATATAAGGACCAGGTCTGGCGAGGAGAGACTCCAGTCTTATTATCCTTCGTCCACCACTACCATCACAGAGGGGTCTTACCAGACACTCTCAGTGTGCTATACATCTGTTTTCATCCTCACCATTGTGATAGCGCCTCTCGCCTCACCAGTAAGTCTAACTCTGTGACTAGCAACTAGGCCTCGTCAGTGAGCACATCGTATCACCACAGCTCGTCACTGTAGGCTTTTACCCAGAGACCCTCAAGGGGACTCTTAGTCTGGGTTGTCTATCTTTGTCATCGGCGTGCCATGACATTAGAATAAGACTGACCTTTTACGCCCCTACCAAGTGTCTAACACTGGTAGTCGCACGTTTTCGCCCGGAGATACTTTTGCCCAGGGCAGAGCTTTTTCCACACCACTTCCTTCATACCATTCCACTTCACCTCTACCACCTAAGCTGCTTCCTTCCTTCCAAAGGAACAGCGCTGCACTGACCGGTAAAGCACCTCAAGTGCACAACAGTATCGTACCGCCCAACAGACGATATCACCTTTACCATCCCCATCTCAACTGCACTCGTCGTCTGACGACAAGTAACCTACTCCAGGCTAAACCAAACGAGGCCTATTGCTCAGAACTATAGAAGCTGCACACTAAGGTCAGCTCGTGGGCCAAAGCAGTTCCAGAAGATGCATCTGACCCATCTGTCCCCATCTACAAACCCCATTGGTGGTCTAACGACGACGCCACTACCATCCTCACCTTTGCACTCTCAAAGAGTTATCACCTTCTCAGAATACACGAGAACCCCAAAGGCACGCTTCCAGAGAACATTGCGCTGACCGTATATACTACCATCCAGCGGTACAAAGTCTTACAGCAGCCTCATATCGCTGCCAAGTTCACGGAAGCACAGATCCAGTGTCACGATCGCATTCTGCAACACTTAGGAGCATTAAACGAGAGGATTGGGTGAGGCGACGACTTCATGTTCATCGATAGATGCATCGCAATCAAGCTTTGCATGGGACTAGGAAAGATCAATAAGGAGCAGGAGCGCGTAGGATGAGATATTGTAAGGTTCGAGAAGGAGTCGTGCTACTAGCCTTACTAGGACCAGTAATATTTTTATATAACCGCAATCAAGGGTTTCATGCTGAGATACACATTCAGCTTCATATACGAAAACTATATTGTGGATTTTTATCGTCCAGCACAGGGACAACTCACAGTTATCTGCACCACGGATTTCATCTACCAACCTCTCATCACCAACTGGCAACAAGTACTCTACCACTACACAGTAGAAGTACATGCTTACACAACCTACTCGGCACTATTCTGTCTCATTCCTGATTTCGAGGAAGAACAAGAATATTGGCATTACCAAGCAGAAGCTTTACAAGAGGAGCTAGCAGAGAAAGGATTTATCGAGGAAGACCCAGAGATCCCCTTCTAAAAAACACTATCGCCAGGCTGAGACCAAGAGTCGATCGAATAACACATTGTCTGTCACATCATTCCCACTATCATCGACATCAATTCCAATGTCTCAATACAACCTCGGTGATGTTGCATTCTCAGGAGGACACATCATGAGTGAGCCTGCTGACCCTTGGAGAAGTCAGGCCACTTTCACATCAAAGCAGGACCAGCTGTCCCTGCAGAAGAACCACATATCAGCAGCACACCCAAGGCCTCAGGAGTAGTCAGAAATCCGTCGCCCACCACCCTGCCAGAATTTTCCACACCTGGACCTGGGAATGGCAGGGAATCTCTTATGACATGATTGAAGAAGCCGCTAATGCCGCCGCACCTGCCACCATTCCAAATGACGTCAAAGAATGGGTAATGAATGTGGTGCAAGCATTCATCATGAGGGATGTTGTGAGCTCTTATGAGGCACTACATCAAAAAATGAATGAACGTCATGAGTGCACGGTGACCTCGTTGAAAGAAGAGATACTGGCTCGTATTCATGTTGAGATCATGGCAGTAGAAACACGAGACCAGTTAAAAGTTGAAAGAGCTCAGATCAGCACCCTCTCTGCTGATATGGAAAGGCTCATCAAGGCAAACAATACTCTGATGGCCGAAGCCCAAGCAATCCGCAAGGACTTCGAGGATTACAAGGACGAAGTAAAGGGCCAGATGGATGCCCTTTATAGTAACATGGTCGCCCTGAGGGAGGCACAAGAAAAGACCACAACCTGTATCCTTCCAAATACTCAGGGAGAAAGTCGTCGGAAAACTTCGAGACCTGGTTCACAAACCTTCTCATTTGGCTCGATTACAACCATTTCACGGACGACAAGGACAAAATTCAGCAGGCCAATGCCCATCTGGAAGGAGGAGCAGCTCTGTACATGAAAGAGTATGCAATCAAGCTCACCTCTGAACAAGATGTTGGCACATGGGCAGAATACACCAGGAAACTGGAAATGGCACACAAGACGCTTGATCCCAAGTGCACGGCACAGTCAATGTTAGATGTGCACTGCACAATTCACCACAAGATGATGATCGCCTTCGCAGAGAATTTCAGGGCTTATGCCCCCAAATCAGGATACTCTGATAAAGATCTGATCGTCAAAATTAGGGAACAACGGTCGACCCACATCCAGACAGTTATGTCAGTAACAGAGACTCTAGATCCTTCGAAGATTCCAACTACTTGGATGAATTATCTCAAATTCTGCCTGGAAATAGAAATTAAACATCTCCAGCAAGTCTCGAGAAACAAGTCTACTAGACAGACCATGGTGACTAAGACGACTGCCCCCAAGGACCTAATGCCATGGACACAAGTGCACATGAACTCTCCCTTGAACAGGATAGGTGGCTGGCAAACAAACTATGTTTGTTCTGCGAAAAGCATGCCTATGAGCGAGGAAAAAAGTGCCCTCTCCCACACCTGAGTATAAAGGAAAACAGTTTCAAACGTGAGCCAATGCCCCTTAAGGCAAAGGGAAGGGAAGAGCGCAGAAGGTCTGACAAGTTGAGGAAGAAGGTAGCTTGGATACATCATCTCAAATTGCAGCACTGGAACAAGCAATTGCTGCATTACGCGAGATGAAGACCTCTACCCCTATGTCCTCAATAGGCAAGGGCAAAGAAAAGGTGAAAAAGGACGATGTGGCATCTAACGCATCCACGGCATCAACGGCTAAGGACACCAATGCGAGAATCATCGAGATGGATGAATTCTTAGAGGATTTTCAGTACGAAGTGTAGACAAGTCTGGTGCTACACTTCGGGACAATTGTATTAGTACCGTGAGAATGAATGTACCTAGCGATTACATATATATTGCATTCACAGGCTTTTCTAAACATTCGATCAAAATTGTCGATAAAATTCGCATCACGAAAAATCCAGACAACAGCCTTATTGGATTCTGGAGCATTCTTCTGCTATATTGATCAGAGATTCGCTCAAAAACATGGGTTTAAGATGATACCACTAAACCACAAAATAAGAATCCTCAACGCAGACGCCAGTTCCAACAAGGGTGGTGCAATTACTCATCGTGTAGTCACAAGTATCTTAATCAGGGGGCACCGATCAACTGAGAGTTTGCTCATCACAAACCTCGAGTGCATGTCAATGATCCTTGGCATGAAGTTCCTACAGGAACATAATCCCCGAGTTGACTGGGAACATAGAGAGGTCACGTTCTCAAGATGCAGATACACGAGGAAGCAACAAGTTCGAGTAAGCGAGGAAGAAGTTGACCTTCTATCGCAACCCTGACTTGAAGATGAAGCAATTCTCCCTGACGTACACAAGGATGATGGGTGAGATCAGGAAGACAACTTCATTAACTGGATAGACTTGCAGGATCAGGATCTTCATAACATGGTGCACGACATCCTTGGTATAAGCAAGAAGGCAAAGGAGCATTTGGTAGAACAGCCGGCAGAGGAGACACAGGACAAGGAATATTGGTCCAAGTTCGTCCCTCCAGAATTTCATCAATTTGGAGATGTGTTCTCGAAGAAGAGCTCGGAAAGAATGCTGATGTGTAAGCTCTATGGTCACGCAATTGATCTTGTCCCAGATGTGGCATCCCCGAGATTAGCAAAAGTATACCCTATGTCTTTACGAGAGAAGAACTCGCTCGATGAATGGATTGATGGTGAACTAGCCAAAGGCTACATTCAACTCTCTTAATCCCCCTATGCGGCCCCAGTATTTTTCGTGAAAAAGAAAGATGGTTCTCTTAGACTCGTCCAGGACTACAGGGCCTTAAACAGCATCACTAAAAAGAACAAGTTTCCTCTCCCGTGAATCAACGATCTTATTGACGGACTTTCATGGGCTAGTCTCTTTACGATGCTAGACCTGAGATGGGGGTACAACAATGTACGCCTTTGCAAGGGAGATGAGGAAAAAGCTGCGTTCATCACCCACAGGGGTTTGTTTGAACCAACTGTCATGTACTTCAGATTCTGTAATGCCCCTAGCACCTTTCAGACGATGATGAATGACGTATTAGGCGATCTCATACGCACTGGAAAAGTGGCAGTCTATATCGATGATATCATCATATTCATGGACAATCCAGCAGAACATACACGACTAACCCAGGAAGTCCTTCAACACCTTTGAGATAACGACCTGTTTGTGAAACCAGAAAAATGTCACTTCGCGACAACCTTCATTAAGTTTCTAGGTCTTATAATCTCAAAGGGGTCGACACAAATGGACTTCAAAAAAGTAGATGGTGTTCTCAAATGGCCAGTGCCCACCAAGGTCAAGCAAATACAAGCATTCCTTGGTCTGGCAACCTTCTATCGACGATTCATCAAGGATTTCGGCTCGATGACCTGACCCTTAACTCTATTAACACGCAAAGATGCTCAATGGAAATGGAAAGAGTCTCAACAAAGGGCATTTGAGGCCCTCAAGACTGCCTTCACTTCTGCCCTGATTCTAGTGCTCCCCAACACAATACGTCCCTTCTGACTAGAAACTGATGCCTCGGACTTCACAACTGGTGCAGTCCTGGAACAGTTGAGAGAGGACGAACTCTGGCGTCCTGTCGCATATTACTCTAAGTCACTCAATGAACATGAGCGAAATTATGAGATCTATGACAAGGAAATGCTAGCCATTATTCGGGCATTGGAAGAATATCGGCAGTACTTCGAAGGGCATTCGCACCTGGTTGAGATATGGTCGGATCACCTCAATCTTACCTATTTCTGACAAGCGCAAACATTGACCAGACGACAAGCTCGCTGGTCACTTTATCTTACATGATTTAACTTCATTCTCCATCACCGCCCTGGAAAGACGATGATGTGTGCTGATCCTCTGTCCAGGAGGCCAGATCATGAGATGGGGGTGAGCAATGACAATTCAGGGCAAACTTTGCTTCGACCTGAATATTTTACCATCTATGCAATCTCAGCCACTCATTCCTCCGAAGTTGACGATGCAAAACTTCTAGAAAGAGTGAAATCGGCACTACAAGACAACAAAATGACCAAAGGTTACCAGCACCTACTAAAAACTGGCAAGCGAGAGTT